TTGAAGACATGGATGTTCAAACAAGCATTCGGTTAATCCGGTGCAATGAATTTGATGATCAAAGGACTGGTAATCACAGACGATGAAATTGGATTGCGATTTTAGTTAAGAGATGCATTGGTTTGTATTGGTGGCCCAATACTGTGTATTGTGTATGTGTTTTTATGCTTTTTAAATTGTATATTGTTGATTATTGTAGTGTTGTAAACCGCGTTGAGTCGCCAATGTAGGCTGAGAAATAGCGGTATACAAGCGCAGTAATAATAATAATAATAAATAATATTTTTCCTCTCAACCTGGGGGTCGGGATCTGGGGGGGGGGTCGCGAGGGGGGGGTGTCAGAGGGGTCACCAAAGACCATCAGAAAACACAGTATTTTCTGTTGGTCATGGGGGTTCTGTGTGGGAAGTTTGGCCCAATTCTATCGTTGGTGGGGTTCAGAATGCTCTTTGATTGTAGGTGAACTATAAATCCCAGCAACTACAACTCCCAAATGACAAGGTCTATTTCCCCCAAACTCCACCAGTGTTCACATTTGGGCATATTGAGTATTCGTGCCAAGTTTGGTCCAGATCCATCATTGTTTGAGTCCACAGTGCTCTCTGGATGTAGGTGAACTACAACTCCCAAACTCAAGGTCAATGCCCACCAAACCCTTCTAGTGTTTTCTGTTCGTCTTGGAAGTCCTGTGTGCCAAGTTTGGTTCAATTCCGTCGTTGGTGTAGTTCAGAATGCTCTTTGATTGTAGGTGAACTATAAATCCCAGTAACTACAACTACCAAATGTCAAGGTCTATTTCCCCCCAAACTCCATCTGTGTTCATATTTGGTCATATGGAATATTCGTGCCAAGTTTGGTCCAGATCCAAAGTGCTCTCTGGATGTAGGTGAACTACAACTCCCAAACTCAAGGTCAATGCCCACCAAACCCTTCTAGTGTTTTCTGTTCGTCTTGGAAGTCCTGCGTGCCACATTTGGTTCGATTTCATCGTTGATGGAGTTCAGAATGCTCTTTGATTGTAGGTGAACTATAAATCCCAGCAACTACAACTTTCCAATGACAAAATCATTTTTTTTTGAGTGAAGGACATACATTGGGTTGTTCGGTGTCTTGGTGTCCATTCGTCCAGTGGTTTTGTGTTATGTTAATCCCACAAACGAACATTACATTTTTATTTATATACTAGCTGTACTCGCCACGCGTTGCTGTGGTCAACCTTCCCTCTTTCTCTCCTTTCCCTCCTTCCTTCACTCCTTCCTTCCTTCCCGTCTTTCCTTCTCTTTTTCCTTCCTTCTCTCTTTCCTTCCTTCCTTCCCCCTTTTTCTTTCTCTTCTGGTCTCTTTTCTTCCTTCCTCTTTTTCCTTCTCTCTTTCTCTTTTTTCCCTCCTTCTCCTCTTCTTCCTTCTTTCCTTTTTCTTTCCTTCTCTTTTCTTCCTCCCTTTTTTCTTCTCTCCTTCTTTCCTTTCTTTCTTCTCTACCTCTTTCTTCCTTCTCTTCTTCTCTTCCTTCTCCTTTCCTTCTTCCCTCCTCTTTCTCTACATCTTTCCCCCTCCTTTTTCTTTGCTCCTTCCTTCCTTTTTCTTTTTTCTCCTTCCTCCCTTCTCTAACTTTCCTTCCTTCCCCCTTTTCTTTCCCTCCCGCTTTTCTCTCCTTTCTTCCTTCTCTACCTCTTTCCTTCCTTCTCTTTGCTTCCCTGCTTCCCTCTCCCTTCCTTCTTTCCTCCTCTTTTCTTCCTTCCTTTCTTTTTTTCTTTCTTTTTTCTTTCTTTCTTTTCTCCCCTCCCCTCCCCTTTTCTTCCCTTTTTTCTGTATTGTCATTTACCTTTTCCTCATTTAGGTTTTTGGGGCTTTTTAAGTCCCTTCTGCTGCATTTTGCTGTGTTTTTATGAGTGAAGGACATACATTGGGTTGTTAGGTGTTTTTTCCAAATTTGGTGTCAATTCCCCCAGTGGTTTCTGAGTTCTGTCAATCCCACAAACGAACATTACATTTTTATTTCTATAGATTCATTCATAACAGTAGCAAAATTACAGTTATGAAGTAGCAACAATTAATGTTATGGTTGGGGGTCACCACACCATGAGGAACTGTATTAAAGGGTTGAGAACTACTGGTCTAGTGTGTTGTTGCTTCTTGAGGGCAAATATTTACAATAAGTAAAAATATATCGATTTGATACTTCGAGGGAAAAGGGAAGAAGAGGCAGGTAAGAAATACAAGTGTTATTATTGTCATTACTAATCAGAAACAACGAAGAAGAAGAAGTCCTTGTGTGAAAATACACGTCGGGGTATAAACGAGGGCTTAGTTAAACTGGAACGAAAACAAACGACCTGAAACACCAAGGAGGAATTAACACGTTATAGTTAGTTATATATATATGGACATAATTGGAAGGATGCTATCAGAAAAATATTTATTCAACTACTTGTTGAGAGAGAGAGAGAGCGAGAGAGAGAGAGATCTATCTCCCCAACAAGTAGTTAAATAAATGTTTTCCGGTAGCATCTTTCCAATTATATAGACACGTATTATATATGTACACGCGCTATTTCTCTGACACACACAGTAAATACATGGTTTCTACATAGCCTGGGACTTCAAAGTACTTGTTGGGTTTATATCCCTCATATATGCGTATATTTTACCAGTCAGAGTCCTGACAGGTCGAAACGTCCGCTCCCGAAGGAAAGAAGAGAGGGTGGAAGGGAAGGAAGGAAAAGAGAGAGGGAGGAAGGAAAGAAAGGCAGAGAGAAAAGAGAGAGAGAGCCCCTTAACCGGAACCGCTTGGGAAATGGACGGGGACACCCAGGGAAATTGGAAATGGGCCCAGGGACACCCAGGACTCTGCTAAAAATATTGTAAACACATCCATAAACATTCCGCATAAACATTTCCTTCTTTTTTTTCTGATATTTCTGCCACCATCATTTCATGCCTTGAGATACTCCCCCGAAGGAAAGAAGAGGGGAGGGAGGGAAGGAAAGAAGAGAGGGAAGAAAGAAAGACGAGAGGAAGGAAAGGAGGGACGGAGGAAGGGAGGAAAAAAAGGAAATAATAGAGGGAGGAAGGAAAGAAAGAAGATGGAAGGAAGGAAAGGAAAAGAAGAAGGAAAGAAGGAAAGAAGGAAAGAAGGAAAGAAGGAAAGAAGGGATAGGAAAGAAGGAAGGAAAGAAAGAAGGAAAGAAGGAAGGAAGGAAGGAAGGAAAGAAGGGATAGGAAAGAAGGAAGAAGGAAAAAAGGAAGGAAAGAAGGAAAGAAGGAAAGAAGGGTTAGGAAAGAAGGAAGAAAGGAAGAGGAAGAAAGAAGGAAAGAAGGAGAGGAAGGAGGGAGGGAGGAAAGAAATAAGGAAGGAAGAAAGGAAAGAAGGAAAGAGAGGGAGGAGGAAAAGGAGGAAAAGGAGGAAGAAAGAAAGAAGAAAAGAAGGGGAAGGAAGAGAAGAAAAGGAGGAAGGAAAAGAGGGAAGGAAGGACGGAGGAAGGAATAATAATAATAATAATAATAATAATAATAATAATAATAATAATAATAATCTTTATTTATACCCCGCCACCATCTCCTCCAACGGGGCCTGGGGCGGCTTACTTGAGGCCAAGCCCAAACAACAAATTACAGCAAAGTAAAACCAAGAACAGAAACAATAAGCAACAACATCATAATTACATAATAATAAAAGAAGAAGAATAAACATATAAATACATTAGCAATATAAAATGACAATCACAGTGACAATGGGCGGGCCACGTGTGCAGAATAAAATGATTAAAAATTATTAAAAACTCGGGCGAGATAAAAGGAGGAGCAGATTATTTGCAAGGAAGAAAGAGAGGAAGGAAAGAAAAAAGAAAGGAGGGAGGGAAAGAAAGGAAAGAAGGAAGGAAGAAAAGAAGGGAGGGAGGAAGGGAAGCAAGGAAGGAAAGGAGGGGAGGAAAAGGAGAGGAAGGAAGGAAAGAGAAGAAGAGGGAAGGAAGGAAAGAAGGAAGAAGGAAGAAGAAGGAGGGAGGAAGGGAAGGAAGAAGGAAAGGAGGGAGGGAGAGGGAAGAGGAAGGAAGAAAGAATGGAGGAAGGAAGATGAAGGGAAGAAGGAAGGAAAAGGGAAGAGGAAGGAAAAAGAGGGAGGAAAGGAAGGAAAAGAGGAAGGAAGGAAGAAGGAAAGGAGGGAGGGAAAGAAGGGAAGGAAGGGAGGAGGAAGGAGGAAGGAAGAGGAGGGGAGGGAGAGAAAGGAAAGAAGAACAGAAGGGCAGAAGAAAGGAAGGAAGAAAGAAAGAAAGAAAGAAAGAAAGAAAGAAAGAAAAAGAGAGGGAGGGGGAGGGAGGAAGGAAGGAAGGAGGAAAGGAAGGAAGGAAGGAAGAAAGGAAGGAAGGAAAGAAGGAAGGAAGGAAGGAAGGAAAGAAAAGAAGAGAGGAGAGAAGGAAGGAAGGAAAGGGAGAGAGGAGGAAAAGGAAGAAAGGAAGGAAGGAAAAAGAGGGAGGAAGGAAGGGAGGGAGAAAGGAAGGGAAGAAAGGGAGGAAGGAAAGAGAGGAGGAAAGGGAAGAAGAAAGGAAGGAAGAAAAGAGAGATGGAGGGAGGAAAGAAGGAAAGGAGAGGAGGAGGAAGGGAAGGAAAGAAAGGAAGGAAGAGATGGAGGAAGGAAAGAAAGGAGAGAGGGGAAGGGAGGGAGGAAGGAAGGAAAGGAAGGTAGGAAGGGAAGGAAGAAAGGAAAGAAGGAAGGAAGGAGGGAAGAAGAAGGAAGAAAAGAAGGAAGGAAAGATGCAGAGAGGGAGAGAGGGAGAGGCGGGGAGAAGAATTCATACAACATGGTGCGAATTCGAACCCAGGTCTCTTCCCCAGCCCGAGAAAGAAGAGCGGAGGGAGTAGGCACCCCCCCTCGACCCACCCCCGAAATCTTAAAATAGGAGTGATTGACAGGCGTCGAATCCTCTGCGAGAGAGGCGCGGCGGGTTATAAAGGGGCGGGAGGCTGCGGAGGAGGAGGAGGAGGCAGGAGCAGGAGAGAGGAGGAAGAAGAGAAGCAGGAGGCCAAGCCGCAGAGGAAGGAGACGCACGGGCCGAGTGAGCGGGAGGAGGGCTCCCAACATCCCCCCGATTCCCCTTCTTTGCTCCGACTTCCCCGGTCCCTCGCTCCCTGGCTGCGCGTGTGTGGGTCAGTGGGCTCCCTTTTGCCCCGGGGCCAGCAGCCAGCCAGCCAGCCAGCCATGCATTGCCCTGGCGAGGCCCCCGGGCAGCAGCAGCAGCAGCAGCTCAAGGCAAGCAGGAGGCGCTACAAGACCTTCATGATCGACGAGATCCTCTCCAAGGAGACCTGCCACTACTTCGAGAAGCTCTCGCTCTACTCCGTCGGGCCCTCGCTCCTCGTCCGGCCCAAAGCCCTCCACTCCTGCTCCGGTAAGAGAAGCCCCATCTTTCCCTCACAAACCCTCCTTGGAGCCAAGGAAGGGGGCAGCCAGGTTTCCAAGAGAGAAAGACGCTCAACCCCCCCCCCCCCCCCCCCGCCCACCGCCAAACATCATTCCAACCCCCTACATGTCTAGCAACACTTCGCAGCATCTTTGAGATTAGTTGGTTGGTAGCATCACTTTTGGGAGACTCAAGTTTCCTTCTGGAGATGCCCTGATTTTCAGCTGGACCCTGAGGATGAACAGAAGGGAAGCCAGTCTCCCAAAGGCCGGATCCACAGCGCCATAGAATACAGTTTGCACTGCTTTGTAATTCACTTTGCATGACAATGCAAATAAATCTACATCATATGGGCAAACTTTGGCCTTCCAGGTGTTTTGGACTTCAACTCCTCCAATTCCTAACAGCCCCCGACCCTTCTTTACTTCCTTCCCTTCCTCTCTCACTTCTTTCTTTCCTCTCCCTCCCTCCCTCCTTTCCCCCTTCCTTCTCCTTTTTCTTCTTTCTCCCTCCCTCCCTTTTTTCCTTACTTCTTCCTTCCTTCCTCCTTTTTCCCTCCCTTTTCCTCCTTCTCTCCTCCCCTTCCCTCCCTCCCTCTCTTCTTTCTTCCTCCTCCCTCCCTTCTTTCCTCTTCCTCCTCTTCCTTCTTTCTTCCCTTCTTCCTCCTTCCTTCCATCCCTCCCTCCTTTCTCTTCCTTCCCTCCCTCCCTTCCTTCCTTCTTTTTCCCTTTCCTCCTCCCTCTCTTCCTTCTTTTTCCTCCCTCCCTCCCTTATTTCTTTTCCCCCCCTCTCTTCTTTCCTTCTTCCTTCTTTCTTCTCCCTTCTCTTCCTTCCTTCCTTCTTCCTTCCCTTCTTTCCTCCCTCCTTCTTCCTCCTTTTTCCCCCTCCCTCCCTCCCTTTCCTTTTCCCTTCCTTTCTTCCTTCCTTCTCTTTCCTCCTTTCCTTCCTCCCTCCTTCTTTCTTCCTCCCTCCCTCCCTTATTCTTCCTCCTTCCCTCCCTCTCTTCCTTCCTTCCTTCCTTCCTTCCTTCCCTTCCTTCCTCCCTCCCTCCCTCCCTTCTTTCCTTCCTGAGACTGTTAGGAATTACGGGAGTTGTAGTCCAAAACACCTGGAGAGCCAAAGTTTGCCTCTATCATGGTCTACACCACAATATGAGTCTATACCAAAGCTTTCCAAACTGAGTGTTGTTTCAGGTTGGTGTGTCAGCTGCACTGTATCAGATGACCCTAACTGAAAACTTTACTTGAAATAAGCAATGCATCATATATATTTAAACATATATAAATATTCCATGAGATATGTTGTGTCCCCATACATTTCATTCTCTCAACTTATGTATGCATCAATAATACCTCTGACAAGAGGTTGTTTTCACTCCGTTTGCTAGTAAAACCAAATGACTGTGTCACAAAATGATGCAAGTCTGAAAAGTGTGTCATCCACACAGAATATTTGGAAAGTTCTGGCCTACACTGAGTGATCATATGGTGCAGTTCAAGCTGTATTCTATGGTAGCGTAGATCCAGGCAAAGAGAATAGCTTAAAGTCTAAGTTAGGAAACGTCCTTGGAAACTGCCTTGAGTCTCATCCTGGAAGAAAAGACAGCATATTAAATGAATTTTTTTTTGTGTTAGGAGTGACTTGAGAAACTGCAAGTTGCTTCTGGTGTGAGAGAATTGGCCATCTGCAAGGACATTGCCCAAAGGATGCCTAGATTTTTTTACAATCCTGTGGAAGGCTTTTCTCTTGTTCTAGCATGGGAAGCTAGAGCTGACAGACGGGAGCTTACCCTGCTCCTTAGATTCGAATTGCTGACCTTTGAGTCAGCATGAGGGTTTAACCCTTTGGGCCACTGGGGGTTCCTTAATGAATAAATTAAATAATACATAACAATGGAAATACACTTTAGGTCTTTTTTTTCCATGCTAGGAGCGACTTGAGAAACTGCAAGTCACTTCTAGTGTGAGAGAATTGCCCAGGGGATGCCCAGATATTTTACCATCCTTGTGGGAGGATTCTCTCATGTCCCAGCATGGGAAGCTGGAGCTGACAGATAGGAGCTCACCCCACTCCCTGGATTTGAACCACCGACTTTTCAGTCAGCAGTACTGTTAGCATAAGTGTTTAACCCATTGCTTCACCGAAAGCTTCACTCTGAAGTGAAGGCTAAGTGACCAAGAAGTTGTGAATATGGTGAAGGTATTTAGAGCTCTCGATGTGAATTATTTTCAGCATCTCTAACATCGAAAAGTTAAGGCAAGCCAACCTCTTCATTTTCTCCCTCCTGGTGTAAGTCCTTTCCAGCATTACAAAATGAGGTGGATTAAAATATATATCAGTAACTTTAATTCTGATTTATGAAAGTTGGAGATGCATTGAGAGAGTTCAAAATTAAAATCACAGATACTGCAGCAGTAATATGATGGTGGGAGTGGAATCTACCCCAAATCCACCCAAAACAAATAGTTCTCAAAGATGTTTCCTCTTGATTCTGTTCTTCGCTCTATGGGTTTATGTTTCCAACTTTGGTTGGATGTTATTTTTCTTTAAAAGTGACAATAATTTGCTTGGCACAATGCAAACATATTAGGAAAGAAGCACAAATCCTTTCCTAGTAAACTGTCATAAGCCCATTCTGTGGCATTAATTTGTGGCAGCCTTCTAGATGGGAAAAAAGACACTTATTCTCTCCATAAGTTTTCCAGAGGTGACAAAAAGGGAGATGTGCAGGCAGCGATTGGTCAGTTCTGTGCTTTCAATTAGCAGTTTAGGGGCCTGTGGATCATAGAGTTGGAAGAGACCTCATGGGCCATCCAGTCTAACCCCATTCTGCCAAGAAGCAGGGATATTGCATTCAAAGCACCCCTGACAGATGGCCATCCAGCCTCTGTTTAAAAGCTTCCAAAGAAGGAGCCTCCACCACACTCCAGGGCAGAGAGTTCCGCTCCTGAATGGCTCTCAAAGTCTTGTAGTTTGAAACCATTGTTCTGAGTCCTAGTCTCCAGGGAAGCAGAAAACAAGCTTGTTTCCTCCTCCTCTCACATATTTATACATGGCTATCATGTCTCTGCTCAGTCTTCTCTTTTGTAGGCTAAACATGCCCAGCTCTTTAAGCCGCTCCTCATAGGGCTTGTTCTCCAGACCCTTGATCATTTTAGTCGCCTTCCTCTGGACACATTCCAGCTTCTCAATATCTCTCTTCAATTGTGGTGCCCAGAATTGGACACAATATTCCAGGTGTGTCCTTCACTTGAAAAAAAAACTTTTGTATTTTCCCATTGATTGATTAATTGATTATATATTCGGGGCCACTTTTGCAATACACAACAAGTTAAAAAATATTAAAATATTACAGTTTTTGTCAATTTAGGAGCAATCTGGTTGGCAGGATTGGGGCATCCTCTACCAGTAATCTTCTAAGCTAGTTGCTGATCAGGGCCGCATATCAATTAAATAATTTCCAGTGAAGCAATTCTCTCTTCTTTCCCAAAGATTCAATAAACAATGCTTTCTGGTCTGCGATTCTCTATAAAAACAATTCAGTTACTATATTAACATTTTCACAATTGGAACCTCTCTCCCCTTAAGAGAAAAGCCAAAGGCTGGATGCCGTATTGACTATATTAGATGCAGCTGTAAACTCTTCAGCTTCTTTCTCTTCCTATGATGAGCACATATTGGTCAAGTCTGAAAACAATGGAGTTTGCAGGGGATGAAAGCTACAAAAACATTTGTATCCAAGTTAAATTATTAAAATGCATTCATAACTATCTCCTTTTCTATTTGGAATGCCACAAATGAGGAATTCAAGAGTGGAAGAGAAGGAGATTATGTGCAAAGCATTTTTAATGTCCATGTAGATGATTGTGAGCATGTAACTTAAAAAGAATGGCAGTGATTCTAGCTTCATCAGCCTGGAATAATACACACACACACACACACGTACGTGTGTGTGTGTGTATGTGTTTGTGTATGTTGGAAGTTCCAGAACTTGCTGAGCTGTACAAGTGTGTAGCTGAGGAACTGACCTATTTGGGCCTTTTCCTTCCTGTATAGAAAACTTTGGCCCCTTCCACATAGCTGAATAAAATCCCCCCTTTTCTGCTTTGAACTGGAATATATGTGGACCCAGATAACCCTGTTCAAAGCAGAGACTGAGGGATTTTCTGCCATGATATTCTGGGTTATATGGCCCTAAGAAGAGTGAAACGTCCTTACCCTCATTTAGACCTCCCTGGTGTGTTGTCCATTAAATGTTCTGGACTCTGGGGGGCCTTCCACACAGCCCTATATATATCCCAGAATATTAAGGCAGAAAAGCCCACAATACCTGCTTTGAACTGGGTTATCAGAGTTCACACTTGGATAATGTGGGATTTTCTGCCTTGATATTCTGGGATATAGGGCTGTGTGGAAGGGCCCTAGGTCTCTCCTCATCCAGTCTTTATTTGTATGTGATGTGGAATCTAGTCTTTAGCTGAATTGGCCTAAGAGTGGGAAGATTTGCAGTTGTCCCTTCCTTCACATGCTCAAGTAATGTTTTACAATTCAGATGTATTGCCTTAGTAGACAAGTGTTGCTGGACTTTTCACAGGGAGAGCAAATTTGGTTTGGCTTTGATACATTGAGTGACTGTTGTCAAATTTTTATTTCTTGGCCAAGGGCTCACACAGCTATATGGAATCATAGAATCATGGAATCATAGAATCATAGAATCCTAGAGTTGGACGAGACCTCATGGACCATCCAGTCCAACCCCCTGCCAAGAAGTAGGAATATTACATTCAAAGCACCCCTGACAGATGGCCATCCAACCTCTGTTTAAAAGCTTCCAAAGAACGAGGCACCACCATACTCCTGGGCAGAGAGTTCCACTGCTGAACGGCTCTCACAGTCAGGAAGTTCTTCCTCATGTTCAGATGGAATCTCCTTTCTTGAGGTTTGAAGCCATTGTTCCGTGTCCTAGTCTCCAGGGAAGCAGAAAACAA